AAAGCCATCTATGAGAAGCCTTCAGCGAACATCATCCTCAACGGGGAAAAACTGAGAGCTTTCCCCCTGAGATCAGGAACAAGACAGGACGTCCACTCTCACCACTGCTGTTTAACATAGTGCTGGAAGTCCTAGCATCAGCCATCAGACAACAAAAGGAAATCAAAGCATCAGAATTGGTTAAGAAGAAGTCAAACTTTCACTTTTCCAGACGACATGATACTCTACATCGAAAACCCGACAGACTTCACAGAAGCCTACTAGAACTGATCCAAGAAATCAGCCAAGTCACAGGGTACAAAATCCACATACAGAAATCGGTTGCATTTTTATACACCAACAATGAAGCAACAGAAAGAGAAATCAAGAAACTGATCCCATTCACAATTGCACAAAAAGTCATAAAGTACCTAGGAATAAACCTAACCAAAGATATGAGATATTCATGATGAAAACTATAGAAAGCTTATGAAGGAAACTGAAGAAGACACAAAAATTGGAAAAACTTTCCATGCTCATGGACTGGAAGAATAAATATAGTTAAAATGTCATTACTACCCAAAGCAATCTACACATTCAAGGCAATCCCAATCAAAATGCACCAGCATTCTTCTCAAAACTAGAACAAACTCTCCTAAAATTTGCATGGAACCACAAAAGGCCCTAAGTAGCTAAAAAATATTGAGGAAGAAAACCAAAATGGGAGGTATCACCATCCCAGACTTTAGCCTCTACTACAAAGCTGTCATCATCAAGACAGTATGGTATTGGCACAAAAACAGACACATAGACCAATGGAATAGAATTGAGAACTCAGAATTGGACCCACAAATGTATGGTCAACTAATCTTTGACAAAGCGGGAAGGAGTATCCAATAGAAAAAAGACAGCCTCTTTAACAGGTGGTACTGGGAGAACTGGACAGCAACATGCAGCGGAATGAAACTAGATCATTTTCCCACACCATACACAAAAATAAACTCAAAATGGATAAAGGACCTGAATGTGAGACAGGAAACCATCAAAACCCTAGAGAAGAAAGCAGGAATCAAGGGAATCAAGAGCAAAAATGAAGTATTGGGACCTCTTCAAGATAAAAAGCAAAAAGCTTCTGCACTGCAAAGAAAACAATCAACCAAACTGTAAGGCAATTGATGGAATGGGAAAAGATATTTGCAAATGACATATCAGATAAAGGGTTAGTACCCGAAATTATGAAGAATTTACCAATGTCAACACCCAAAAAAACAATTAATGTAGTGAAGAAATGGGCAGAAGATATGAATAGACACTTTTCCAAAGAACACATCCAGATGGCCAACAGACACAGGTAACGATGTCAATGTCACCCATCATCAGGGAAATATAAGTCAAAACCACACTGAGATACCACATCACACCATTCAGAATGGCTAAAATTAACAACTCAGGAAACTACAGATGCAGGTGAGAATGTGGAGAACCCTCTTGTACTGTTGGTGCAATGCAAAAGTCTGTTTTTAAACCTTTTTTTCCACATCACTACAGGGTCTAGAGCCTGTATCAAGCTTACTTGATGAGAGCAAAACTGTTATGCCCCATGTCCCAGGTGGCCTAGTAGGACCTGGGGAGACAAAGGGAGAGAGTGAGATTTTCCACCGTGGCTTAGACCCGGAGTCTGTGACACTCAGTCAGTCTGCAGTCCCCTGAGGAAGAGTGCTTCACAAGATGCAGATGCAGGTGTAGCAGGTTTGGGTTGTGCCCAGGCACCTGGTTGTGAAACAGCTCTCAGGTGGGCCTGTGGTACTGATTCTCCTGGGACCACACTCAGCGTGGCTTCACTTCTGCTGCTCCCAGCACAGGTGAGAGGCCCACAGGGAGGCAAAGTATGTGGTACAGGTTTCCTGCTGTCTGCCACCCAAAGTCCATGGGGTCAGGTGCTTGCCCTCACTTCTGTACACATTGCTCCCTCACCACAGGCCTGGGCCAGTCATTCTGACTCAGCCTCCCTTTCTTCCTCCAGGCCCTGACCCCTCCCCTCCTCTTCTATCCTCCCCTCTCCTCCCACAAGCTCCATGTCTCCCCTGACCTGAGCCTACTTCCCTCCATGTAGTTTCTCTGAGCAGGCTCAGGATCCCCTGCTCTGGAGATAAGCTCATGCACGAAGATACATCTTGGTACCAGTAAGGGCAAGCCAGGTCCTGAGCTGTCCACATATACAGAGCCACCATCCAGGTCTGATTCTGAGATGGAAGTTAAGGACATGGCCCCCCGAGCATGGCCAGGACCACAAGGGGCAGGACAAGGCTATCCATTGCTGCATCATCTCTTATGGCAGCAAGAATGGTTGGCAATGATTCACAGTGACACAGAAGGTTGGGAGATGGGACACAACCCTCCTGTCACAGCCTGACTCTCACTCCCACCTGCCTTCTGAGCAGCTGTTGGTCAGGTCTTAGGATCATGTCCTCCCTGGTCCTGGCCTGATGCTCCAGGGTGGGAGAATCCTGAAGGTCCTCTGTACTTTGGTCTGTTTTTCCTTAACGAATACTGACAGAGTTGAGGGTCATTACTCTGACTTTTGTCACTGTAACTGAGTTTTATAGTTAATAGTAAAGATTTAGGGTGTCATTAAATGTCACATGGGCCTTAGATGTAATCACATATCACTCAAGAGAGGAGACAGATGTCTCAGACAGCACAGTCCTCTTCTTCTTGGGTACAGGCAGCCTGCACAGACCCTGGGACTGTGTCCCCTCTGGTTCCTGCATGGGGCATCCCCACATCCTGAAGAGCTATCTGAGGCTTGTGAAGAGGGGACAAGGCCCCTGATGCCCTAGGCTCTTCTTCCTTATATTTGAAACAAACTTTGGAGGAATGACAGACACCATCTTTTGTCTCATGTGAGGACTTTCTCCTGCCACCACTGTCCTCCCTCTGCCCCAAATCACATCCCCTGCACTAGACAAGTCTGACCCTTAGGTCAGGTCTGACCCACTGGGACTGACACCCAACCCCATGCTGACCCTGTGTGGTGGCTTATCTGCATTCTGGCCACAGTATCACTCTGAGGGAAGAGACTTTTTCCAAGACTTGAATAAATTTTTTTCATAGATTGAATTCTTCATGAATCTTAGACGTGTGTTTGAAACTATTTTTTTAATTTTTAATGTTTATTATTGACAGAGAGAGACAGAATGAGCATGGGAAGGGCAGAGAGAGGGGGAGACAGCATCTGAAACAGTCTCCAGGCTCTGAGCTGTCAGCACAGAGACTGACGTGGGGCTTGAACTCACAAACTGCGAGATCATGACCTGAGCCAAAGTTGGACACCCAACTGACTGAGCCACCCAGGTGCCCCCGAAACTAATTTTTAGAGCAATTTCATGAGGTCAAAACAACAGATGAGGAATTTTAGAAGAGGTCAAAACAACAGATGAGGAATTTTAGAAGAGGGAAGTGCATAAGCTTCCCCTATTTCCACTCCTGGCTTATGTCTGAGTGATACTTTGATGGGAGTGGGGAGACGCAGGACAGGAAATCATTTTCTCCTCACCAAAGCATGGCAAGTGCAATTTGGAATATTTCATCTAAAATTTACTGATTGACCTAACGAACTAAAAAGATTATCTCTGAGGGGAATCCCTATGACCAAATAGTATTTCCAGGGATTTTCATGTTGAAGAATAATGAATATTCTCTAGAAAATTATTATCTGGAGATTCTCACCATAGGCTTTCTCATCAATATAACAGTGAATGGGCTGGTGCCTCTCTGGTCCTCAGGTGGCCCAGTGGCCAACTGCAGCAGCGCCCTCCAAAATCAGCTGCCAGAACTGAGGGAAAGAAGCTGTCTTCTTCAGGACTGGAACATTCTGGCTGAAGTTGTCCCACATCTCCTCTCAGCCTGAGCAGCCTGCTTCGCCTCATGCA